CTATACTTCTTTGCCTATCTTTATCTCAAAAATTTCTTCTGAATCCTTGAAGTCTCTATGGTCAAAGAGGATAGTAGATTTTTCTTTATTAATAATTTGGTTCAATTCAAATTTGAGGTCTTATATAGCCTTGATAACCTATTCTGTATGACTTATATTGTCATTATGACGAGGACATCGTATGCGAATGCTCATAACTTTTCTCGTTGAATTGCACTCTCTAGAGTCGGGTTGCTTCTACTGCAAAATCTAGATAAAGATTTAACAGGAATGAGTTGGTAACTCCTTTTTCAGCCAAATCTGTATTAACCTAAATTTTCTGGCATCCGTATATTTATTCGTTTCTGAAGAACAGTTTCTAAAGTATTCCAAATGAATTTTTATTCTTTCTAGAGGAGTTTAACAGCGATTCTATAGTCCTTTAAAAAGCTCCTCTGTTTACTGCATCGTAGGCATTTTTAGAGTCAATGAATATGTAAGCTTTCTTTTCTTTCTGTTCCTTTGAGTTTCTAATATTGATCTATAGTCTTCACAATGTTACTACAAGTCATTGAACCTTCCTTCAATAAAACATTTTTAGTATGAAGGAGTTTTGAAGATATCACTTGACAGTTAATTCAGTTTTATCATTATGTCTACTCAATAATTTTAGTAATGTGTGAGAATACAACGTTAGGTCTAGTATTATTGAATTCTGCTACCTCCTTATCATTTTTCGATAGGAGGATTAGTTTTCCGTTTTTTAGGTAATAAAATATCTCCCCTTCATTCAACATCTAAAGAATTTATTATTCCATGGAGTTTTAATCTCTAGATCTTGTATCATGGACCCATCAAAATAATCATCACCCATGTTTTTCAAGAAGTTGTATTATTTAATGGCTTCTAGCATATCATCCTGCTCTATCCGAAAGTTTGCATCAGTATTTTAATCAACTTATTCGGCAACTTCAATTGGAATTAAATTTGGAGGGTTTAGTAGAATGCTTTTACATCTTATTCTATTTCAGTCTTTGAGTAAATAGTTTCTTAATTTTTATAATTCCCTTGTCGACACACCTTACTTTTGATTTAAGTGACTTTTTAATTAGATAAATTAAAGATTTCATGCCACTATTCTTTCTTGCATCTTCCACTTTTTAATGAACCTTTTCCAGGATAGTCGTCATTCTAGTTTTTGAGTATCTTCCTTTATAATAAACCACTTTGGTGGTGCTGTATATCTTCTTGAGATTTTTCTCTTTTAATTAATTATCCCTCAATTTCTAGGCGCAGAGGGTTTTAAGGCTAGCTATATATAATTTTAATCTTGCTTTTCGGATTTTTAGATAAGATCTTACAACTTGCTAA